TTATTAATAAAGGTAGATTTGAGTCAAACATAAACTAGTTGAGTATTAAACGAAACAACGGAACAATATGCAATAAATAATTTTATTTAAAATATTGATTATTCAGAAGATATATTTCAACTTTGAATGTTTTCATATAGATTATTATAATATTGTAACATTGTCTAATATTTATAAGAATTATATAAACTGAATTGCAAAGTTGGAATTATTTGTTTAAAGTATATTAGAACTTTAGTCAGAATTAAAAATAAAATCTGAATTATTTTTGACAAAAAAAAAATTCTGAAAAAAAAATTGAGACATTTTTTTTCCAAAATCAATTATTTTGTTAAAACATGCAAAAAGTTTTTTGAATCATTTAAATCAGACATTTTGCACATTAGCTCTGTATTTTCGAAATGGCTGGGCCTGCCTTTGCCAAAAACTAATAACCACTTCTCCCAATCATTACTAATTGAATGTTTTTTAAATCATTTAAATCGGATACTCCGTTCTCTCAAAAACTCAATTTCTATTTTCTGCACTCTTTGCTCTTTATCTCCGTAACTGCTGGACTTGCCTTTGCCAAAAACTAATCAGCACATCTCCCTATCAATAGGAATCGAATGTTTTTTTAACCATTCAAATCGGTTGATCCTTGCACCCGAAAACATGACCAAAAATTGTATCCATACATACATACACACACACATTCATTTTTTCTGAGGTATGCCAAAATATTAGGAAACCTTCAAAACGTCGAGAAATGCAAAAAAAATCAATTTCGATTTTTGGACGATTACAATAACTTGCTCTACGGGAAGATAAAAATTATTTTTTGTGTCTACACTTTTTTTTCCTTTTTTTATTATTTTAATAATTTTTACAACAGTTCTGAAACGGACAACAAGTGAAATATTTGACATTAAACTGAAGGCGTTGGCAAAATACAAATCATCTGACCATTGCCAGTGATTTGTCGAAGGTCTTATCTATTGTTGATTAATGCAGAAGAAATTTTCTTTTTAATCGGGCCCTGGTAGAGTTATTGTTCGCGCCAATCAAAGCATGCGCGTATATGCGAAATAGAAAACAAAAATCATCAATCGATTTATTATAAAATTAAACTCAAATCATTCAACACGTAATAAAACCATATTAAATTATTATAAATACTATGTAATTTATGTAATTAAAGTAAAATAAATATTACTAGTTACAAAATCAAAGTATTTACAGTCGGTCGGCAAGCTAGGCGATTTCTATATTTATGTGCTAGTGCCTGTGGCTTTGTGTATTAACCAATTTGGAACATACTTTGGTGCTTTCAAAATTTCTTTTAATAACTTGTTTTGAAATTAAAGAAATAAACTGATGGATAAAATAATAAAAAAACTAATAATAAAGAAAATATTTAACAACAGATAAGGTTGATTCGTTAACGAGAAATAAGCCTTTCGCTTTTCGCCGCTAGATACGCCGTTTTTTTGTTGCATTGACTGTTAAGCATGAGCTATAGAGTTTTTCCTAGTAGAAAAACTATTAAAATTTATTTTATACTATTAAAATAATCGATGACCATTATTTCTAGTTTAACAATAGTAGTTTTATTGAAGTTGGTTCAGTGCAACTGCTACTTGTACTTGTACAGAGCAATTGATACTTGTTTATTTATGGCTACTCAATTTGCATTACAAATAAAATAAACGGCGCTAGCATCTTCAGCAAAAAAACTAGATTTCGAGCCCAAAACTGCAAAACTGGGAACATTTTCAAAAAAAACTTCAAATCTATAGCTAAAACTGTAGACATGGCAACACTGGTCTAGTAATGGTCGGCCATTTTTTTGACATCTCGCGTGAACACATGAAGATGCAAAAGTACCAACATAAAAATGTGAAAAACCCTGGTACATAATGACAGTTCACTTTGACATAGAGACAGTAACAATTATACATAGATAAAAGAAGAGTATATTTATGCAATATATGCAATGTATGCAATTAAATTTTAGCTCACATTTTTATTTTGACAAGATACCATATTCATGTGCTATCAATATATTTATGCATAACAATATGTGGGGAATCAAGCAAGCTAGATATCGTGGAGAAACAATATTAACTTGTCATTTTCATTTCATAAAATTTTGTAATTAATAAATTGTTTATATTTTCATCCAATGGTTTATATATATTTATATCCATAACTTTTCCCACACTGGTGACCCACGACGTTTGACATGAAGACAGAGAAGGAGCATTTTTTGGGGATTTAAAAAAATATAGATTTTGATGCAGCACCATAATCACTGGTCTTTCGTAACTACTCATAAGGTACGTCCAGTCCTGATACTCTTCTTTTATCTATGCGTCCAGTCCTCGGTTCATCGTAGTTAACGCATTTACTACCTGACACCGGACTTCTGTTGGTATACTCATTTTGTATACCCAGACCTCAGTGTTTATTGCTGACACAAAAATTCATTTTAAGCCTAGACCTTGGGTCATGAATTGAATGCACTATCAAATAGTCATTGGAATCGCATTTTAACCTCTCCTTGTCCGTTAACTCACCAAATCGTCTTTTGATGCATAGACTTAAGACTGCATCTTGTCAAGTTGATGACTCTTTAAGGGGTTAGGGGTACTTGGAGGCACAAAAAAATGAGAATTTTCAGTATTTTTTGTTTGTTATTAAACGATGTTTTTTTACAAAAATATTAATACGGTATTATTATACAATGTTTTGACTTGAAGTAACAAAAATTTCAGAAAAATATTAAGTATTCTCAAAGTTATAGCTGTTTTTGTTGACCCTGTTTCAAAAAACGATTGTGGCGGTGACCATCATAATTTCTTAGAGATTCATCTAAAATCAATCAAATAAAAAAAAAGTTTTATAAATAGATAATCCTGGGCCTGATCGAAGGTTTTCTTTTTTTTGCAAAAATTAACAAAATGGCAGCATCAGAAAAAAAATTCTAGATTTTTGGGTAAAAAATCAACAGTTAATTGGTCTTAAAAATTGAAATTTTTGAAAAAATAAAAATCCTTCACATTGGATTTACGTACAGAAATTCGAATTATTGAATTATTTAAACCCAGTCATCTATTTCTGGGCCATATAATAGTTCATCGGTCATTGTGCAAGTTTCCAAAATTTCCATTTGCTGTTGCCTACGAAGCATTCTGGCTTCCAGAGTGTTCTCGTTGACGCGCTGATCTGCCACTTTCACACGTGCAGCATCCAATTTTTCAGCATACCAATGAGAATTATACCCACAAATAGGTCCTAGGGTACCCATAATCAATAATAATGATTATGTATATTCATGCAATGCAATGCAATTTGTACGATAGTAGAACTAGTATTCACGGTTTCTAGGCATATTTTTTACACTAGTTGGTTGAAGCTTTTAATTTTTTCTGATTATGGATTCAATCTTGAACTACACATCTTGAAAGTAAATTATTATTGCTGAGATCGTCGTAAATCGGTTTAAAAGCTTTTAAAACATCAGAAGGTGAGGGAGAATAATCTTGAGTATCAGTATATCGAGCTCTCCACTTGCGTGAGCGCGCTGGTAATAGTCTAATAACTCAAAAACTAATCATCGGATCAACTTGAAATTTTCAGAGAACATTTTCAAGTTCTTAATGAAATTTCAATACTTAATGAAAATGCAAAAAAATAAAAAACGATTTTTCAAAAATTCCAAGTACCCCTAACCCCTTAATACGCTCTCCTTCGAATCACATTTGATTCGAGAATCCGATGTATGATCCGAAGGGCCACAGAAGTCGAAAAGATCGTGGCGGAATCTTCGAAGTTTACCAAGACATCGAGGTTCAGAAAATTTACCATGTGATTTATATTCAGAACCATATGCAGAGTATGAAGATGATGGAAGGTCGAACTACCTGCCATACAGTGGATCTGCCGACGAAACTGTCATTTATTCTAATTTAATTAACCAGTTATTAATATAACTGGTATAATAATAATAATAACCAATTATTTGATTGACCAGTACCACAACACTGCTATAATCTGCTTTCCCACCATATGTTTATAACGTGTTTCCCTGTATTTTTTTAAACTGTGAGGTCAACACTGGGCAGGGAGTGTGTGGGTAATCAAGCAGGCTAGGCACCGTGGAGAAACAATATTAACTTGTCATTTTCATTTCATAAAATTTTGTAATTAATAAATTGTTTATATTTTCATCCAATGGTTTATATATATTTATATCCATAACTTTTCCCACAAATATATCAAGTAATGGCCCGCTCCACTACACGACGCGCACGGCGAATCCTGTTTTTGACATGCGCGAGGTTTGCTTTTGCTTGCAATAATTTAGTCTGCGCACATTTCGAACAGATTCGCCGTACGGATTCGTGCAATGGAGCGGGCCATAATGTATATTATATTCAATTTTTCTCTACGATCTTAATATCACGTAAAGGAATTAATACTGTCACAGTAGATAGTAATAATCATATTTAGTCTGAAACTGCTTAAATGTAGTTTCAAAAGTTTTATTTATGCAGGTTACCGTAATATACAACCGTTTTCTTCGAAAAATGTCTTGTCATATCAAAATTTGAATAATAATCTATATATGTATATCTATTTATATTGCTTTAATGTGTGATCGATTTAAATGAATTTGTTCAATAACTTTTGATCGATAAGGTGGAATTCTGTAAGTCAGATGTCAAATAAAGTTTTGCTCAGGCATTTGAAATTATTTGCTTGTTTAAATTAATAGTACGTATGGTCATTAGAATACTAAAAATCTTGATGATTGAATAATGAACCTAATTTTTGTTAGCAAAATAAGTGTAGTTTGAACCCGTATTAACATAAACCATAGCATTGTTTCTTTCAGTAGAAGTATACAACTTTCTTAAAATGAATTAAGTCGACAAAGGTGGCCGCCCAGCTCGATTTGAATCGTGCGTGTCGCGCCTTAATTCTAGTCGCACATGGCAACACCAATTTATGCAACACGTTGATAAAAATTGTAGCAGCACGCGAAGTTCTCGTCGCTCTTCCTTTCCCCTTTCGCCCCACATTTACATTATAAGTAAGACAGTTGAGATATATAACTAACCTGTGAAAAGGTAAGCTGATATTACGACGGAATTAATCAATCAAAAGCGTTGTTATTAATATTGAGTTTGATTTTTTTGTTTTTTCATTGTGCTAAATTCATTTCATCCTTGACGCAGATCGTCGGCTTTGGGGCAGCCAGCACGTAGGTTTCTGACTCATTTCAGTTTGGTCATTTCTGATTGGCATACATCATTGTTCTGCAACTGTTTTTATAAGTTTTTACACATCTTCCAAATCCTGTGCAGTTTTTTTTATTTGGGACCACAGTATATAAGTAAGCTTTATTATTTAATTTATGATTTTATTTAGGATTCTACGTATTTTCTTTTCCTTTAGCCATTGACCTTTCTTTGGCGTTTGCACATTTCCACGTCGTTAATGAATTAAATTTGGGATATTTTAGTTTGAAAATGTGCTAATCAATTGTTTTTTTGTTCGCAGCAAGTTATTGTATGAGTCAGAAAACCGAAAAACCAGTACTATCAGGTCAGCGCATCAAGACCAGAAAAAGAGGTTAGTTTTTATAAAATGGCATTTGGAAAATTTATAGAACGCATTGTTTGTATTTTTTGTTTCAAGTACGACTATGATCATTTATTTGACATTTTATACTCATGCATCTTACACAAGATTAAAAAAATGTCGCAATTTTGTAAATAATAATTAGTCATACAATTATTTTAAACATAAAATTATGCTACATTTTTCATGATTGTGCAATTTTTTTTACATGGTTTTTTAGTATTCTCTTTAATTCAATGTATGTATTTTATTATTTGTTTTACTTTCAATTTCTATACATTGTAAGCATTAATAATAACTTGGGGCATATATTCCACGGAAACTAATCGCAGAAATTTAATCATTTTTATGATGCCAGGGTAAAATTTTGTGCAGTTCTTAACCAGAAATGTTGATGCCCATTCAACAATGTATTTTAAATAGTAATCTGTTTATAATTTTTTACAAGGAAATTTGTCTCAAAAGCTTTAAACATATTTTTATTATTGATGCGAGGTTAATTGTAAAATTTCGTGAACAAAAATATTATCTACAGTTGAAAAAAACTAAATGTTCTTGAAATGTATGCATAAATGTTTAATTCTCTATTAATTTTTTATTACCACTGTCTTCATAAATCATACTTGAGGCATTTTAACTAAACTCAAACATCATTTGCTTTATCCTCAATATTTTATCACAATAAAATTGATCAACATTAAATACTCCCTTTTAATGGTTACATTTCAATTCATGTAGATGAAAAAGAGAAGTATGATCCAAGTGGATTCCGTGACGCAGTTATCTCAGGTCTCGAACGTGCTGGCAACGATCTCGACGCAGTTAACAAATTCCTTGACACAGCAGGCTCTAAGCTTGATTATCGCAGATACGGAGAAGCACTGTTCGATATTCTTATAGCTGGTGGATTGTTAGGTACTATAATTCATGATAACACCTGTTATTATATTTATGAACCTAAAGTTGTTTCATTACCAGTATTAAATTGATCAATGTTTAAAGGATATATTGAAGCAAAATAAATTCACCTTACAACATATTTTAATTGTAAGAGTTAAAAAATTTAGTAGTTTTCTAGCAATATTTTAAGAAAACTTGCTATTGTTTTTCACATGTTGCATATTTATCTCATTAATAAAAGTACGTAATGATACTAAATTCTGAGCTACTGAAGAATTGTTTACCTTAATTACCTTGAAGGTCAAGTTCATTTTCAAGTTCCTCTCAATATAAATTTGTTGTGTAAATATTTATCATTTTGCTGAAAATATAAAAAAATTAAGACTTAATTACATTGTATGAAAACAAATACTCAAAAATTAAAAACATAATCATTAGCATGCATATAATTATAAATACATCCATAATGTTTGCTTTATCATGATTTTCTTGATCACGATTATTAAACAATTGTGGTATATTATATAAAGCACACACACTGGCTTTACATTCAAATGCGAATATAGAGTTAACGAGCTGTGGTACATTCAAAATTTAATAAAAAAAAAATTGAATTATCTTTGAATATTTGACAATTTGACATTTTTTGTCGTTTGTAGTGTACTAAGTTTAAATTTGAGGATAGTTAAGAAACAGAATTTATTTATTTCAATGAGTTTTAATGATAATTTTATATTAATTTAGTGCCGGGTGGTTCAATAGCACAAGATGGAGAAAAGCCCCAAACCAGTAGTTGTGTCTTCACAGCTTCTGAGGATATGGAGTCAATGCGAAACCAGGAGCAGGTTTGTAGAATAATCTCAAACTGACAAAACAAATTGTTTTAGTTCTGAACAGTTACAAGTGTTTTTTTTTTTAATTTTATTGTTTTGCTTTGTTTTTTTAATTCACTAAAAAAAGTAATTGTTTATAAAATTATACAACTGAAACAATAAAAAAAGTAAACAAAATCTAATCTTAATTAATATTGCCATTGAATTAGTAATGAAATTCTTAAAATATCATTTAATAAACATTTTAAAATACAAATTTGAAAAATAACATTGTTATAAATGCACGAAACTAACTGACTATAAACTATTCATTGAACTTTTTTTTGTTAATACAACGTAATTTTAATAAACATTGCAGATATTTTTACTTTATTAAATTGAAATTTACTATTCTAATCAATGTAAATAGTTCAATGAACTTTTATTCGTAATACTAATACACATTACATTATAGTTATGAATATTATTTCTATAACACAATGGTATATAAAACAGGGCCCAAACACTAGCCAATTTTAGTTGAAAAGTTAATGAGATATTTTGTCACTTTTAAATTGGAAAGTTAATAAGAGATCCTTACATTGTAACTTTCAAGTTACACAGCTACTGAAACAAAAATAACTAAATAAAATAAATAATTAATTAATAAATTTTTTTTACAGGTTTTCGTGAAATTAATGCGTCGCTATAAGTACCTTGAGAAGATGTTTGAGGAGGAAATGAAAAAGGTCCTCGTCTTCATTAAAGGTTTTAATCCAACTGAGCGAATAAAGCTTGCGCGCATGACCGCTTTATGGATTGGTGAGTTTGTCATTACAAGTTTTAAGTGTTTTCATACATCATAAAATTCAGCACTTAATTATATTATTAATTTAGGAAATGGTTCCGTTCCACCCTCCATACTCCTGGTGCTTATCAATGAACATCTTGTGAAAGACGGTATTGCTTTAGATTTCTTAGTTGAAGTGTTTGTAACATTTAAACAAGAAAAGGGATTGTCGAGTTTAATGGCAGCACTCAAAAAGGGATCTATTGAGGGAAGGTTAGTAAACCATTACAAAAAAAATTATATATATACATATATATATATATATATATATATATATATATATATATATATATATATATATATCTATCGAAAAACTCCTGATTCGAATCAGAAAAAACCCTGATTTGAATCATAGTTTATATCAACTCGAATCAAGTATATATATGGACAAAAAAAACATGGGTGTGTTTAGTAAAAGTGATCCAAATTTATAATCAAAATTGTTAGTTTAACCAATACAACTGACAAGGTAGAAATTGTAAACATAAATTACTATCAAAAAGTATATTCTGAAAATAATTAAAAATGATATAATTTTGAGGACGGTTGAAACATATCTTCAAATTAATTTACAACAAAAGATTACCAAACAATTGTGCATCACTAAAAGCATATAAAATAATATTTGGAATCATGACCCGATTGTTTTACTATATAATTAGTGAAGGATCAGCATTTCATTTCATCAGAGCTAAAAGTTAATTTCATTAATATGAATTTGCTATTACTTACATAATCAGAAGTTAACATATCATTTACTGGCTTTCTGGTGTTTAGTAATTGTTTCAAAAGGAGAATTATATTGGAAGATTCCCAAAACTCGTTTCATAATTTTGAGTGGTTTATTCTGTTAACATTTAAAATCTAAAACACTTAATTATTATCAAAATTGGGTATTGATAGTTTACTCTGTAAAATAAAACACGCAAGAACGAAGATGTGTTGTATCTGTTTTGAAGTTGCTCATACGGTTAACTCATATCGCTTGAAGTCATATCAAATCTTTCACTAAAAAAGATTTTATCAAAAAAGTTTATACATTTCTTTTGTTTTAATCTACCATCTTCTGCTTTGTTTCTTGACAAATGTCCTGAAGATGGAATGTACCTAGTTCTGAAATGCCGACAGTAGATAAATAGTTTTTTCATAAACTTTTGTTTTTATTACTTTTTGGATTCTTTGTTCAAAGCTCTACAATATATATATGTATATATATATATATATATATATATATATATATATTTTGAGTTTAATATTCGGGCGTAACATCAATAAAAATAGTATGAGTTTTTTTTAAAAAATTTATTTATTTAAAATCCATACGTTTCGGCTAGCATCTTAGCCATCATTCAGTGGTAATCAAGTTAACTATAAAAATTGAAACTAAATAAATTATATGAAAGGAAATTTCATGGAAAAACAATAATAATAATAATAGTAATAAAACACAAATTAGGATACAAAATTGTGTTTTATTACTATTATTATTATTATTGTTTTTCCATGAAATTTCCTTTCATATAATTTATTTAGTTTCAATTTTTATAGTTAACTTGATTACCACTGAATGATGGCTAAGATGCTAGCCGAAACGTATGGATTTTAAATAAATAATTTTTTTAAAAAAACTCATACTATTTTTATCGATGTTACGCCCGAATATTAAACTCAAATTAAACATATATATCAACATCAAATTCAAGACTATTCAAAAAAAAAAAATATATATATATATATATATATATATATATATAGTTTTATTGAAAAAAAAACTCAATAAGCTCATACTAATTTTGAATATTTTGATGCATTTTTAAAAATATTTTTCTGATTAAATAATATATTTCTTTAAATGTTGAAAAAATGAAATGATGACCAAATGATATATATTAATAAAAATATTATTTAATCAGAAAAATATTTTTATAAATGCATCAAAATTAGTATGAGCTTATTGAGTTTTTTTTTAATAAAACTGAATTTTGAACTTTTTTTGCAGTTTTTGAGAAATAAATTTGTTATCTAATTTATTAGATTGCAATTAACATTTCTAATCAATGTCTAAAAATTTAATGATTTTTGTTTGTAAAATCACTTATTTTAAGTGCATAAATCTCCATTGTGGTTCCAATCTGAAAATTATAAGAATTATTTCTATAATTATAACACAATGGTATATCAAACTCGGCAAACACACTGGCATTTCAATTTTTATTCATTGAAAAGTTAACGAGATTTGCTACATTTATATTTGAAAGTTAATTTGAATTTTCAAAATTACCTTATACATTGTCTTTTAATCAGGATGTGTTATTTTCTTTAGGCTAATGGAATTTGTACCACCCAACAAGCGCACTGAGGAATACTTTAAGTCCCTATTCTCTGAACGGGGCTTAACTGATATTGTTCGCTTGCATAAAGCTCAAGCTTCCCAGGAAGCTAAGCGAGATCTGCAAGAAGTTCTTCTTGATGATCTCGGTGACAATAAACCAATCAAGGATATGATTGTTGATATAAAAGAATTTGCTTCTAAAACCGAAATTCCTGAACATGAAATTATTGCATTGGTAAGGGGGAAATAATTTTTAGTTTAGATGGTTTTATGTATTGAAAATTGTTTACTAAATTTTTATCAAATTTGGATTCTCAATGCATTATGATTAAAAAATTAATTATAACTCAATTTTTATATCGCTTAATATTTTTGTATTGGTAGTTGTGTAATTTAACAGTATTAATGCATTGCTCTGTTTCTCATTCTTTCATTTTTATAAAATATTTTGCAATTACAAAAATAACAATGTTATTTATCTTAAATTTTAACTTGTTTATATATTTATATATATATATATATATATATATATATATATTTCATTTAAATTATTAATAATTGTGTAATTCAATGGGCTCTTAATATTGTGGTTTCTAACCTGTGGGGCAGGGCCCCTCAAGGAGGGGGCTCGAGGCTATTGAAATTTGGCCATACAGCTGCTTTTGAAATACTATTTCCAAAAAACAAACCAAATGATATATTATTAAAAAAAAAATAATTAGGGGCATGATTATTAAACAATATCCTTCCAAAAAAAATGGAGGACTTTGATGCAAAAAGGTTGGAAGCCATTTCCTTTAATGCATTACTGATTCTCATTCTTTTATTTTTACAAAATATTTCATAATTTGCAAATTGCAGTGTAATTTAACTAGTTTTTTATTTGTGTCCTTCAACAGTATGTATTTCTTTTTCTTAGATATGGAGCACTGTAATGACAATGGCTGAATGGAACAAGAAAGAAGAATTAGTAGCAGAGCAAGCGTTAAAACATCTAAAAAGTTACACTGCCTTATTCGAAGCATTCAGCTCTTCAACAAGAGCTCAACTCGCTTTGGTTTTGAAAGTGCAAGAGTTCTGTTATGAAAACATGAACTTCATGAAAGCTTTTCATAAAATAGTACTCTTGTTCTACAAAAGTAAGTTACTAACATATTTATATAATGTATAAATACTTCTACACTAATTAGTGTAGAAAATTAAATTAGATATTCGCATTTAGGATGCGTCTGTTAATCATGTGATTTATTTTCAAAGATCTTTGGACCTTTTTTTCCTCTTAGTGATCCGTTGATTTTTTAATTTTTTTAAATATTAGGTAATTTTTTTTTTAAATAGGTAAAAAGTACATGTGATATCTTACAAGACTTTCCCCACATATTTTATTTTTTCAAGCACTCTCCCTGTTTGAGCTCCCTTAGCAATATATGATCAGATGAATCTTTCCACGATTTTGATATAACTTTTATTTAAGAATTGAGCTTACTAATTTATATTTATTGATGAATTAAGAACGATTTTTATGCATAGCATTATCATTTTAATATTCTATGTTTATATTATTAATTTTTGTTTTATGAGATTACTAGACAAAGAATAAATCCTTTGTCTAGTAATTATATTTGAAACTCCAAATTTCTGAAATAAAATGAATAAAACTGTATACATACAAACTCCAAGTCCTAATTAGTCACTCTTTATTAGTGACATTAAAAAAAAACTTTGAAATAATGAATATTTTCAAATTTTACTTTAAAAAAATTGAAAAAAAATATATTATTGCAAGTTGAATAAATTCATGTTTTTACCTCAGTGAATTTTTATATATTATAAACTAAAATGTAAAATTTTAGTAATGTAAGGTAAGACTGGATTTTTTACATAGTCTTTTAATACTTATTTATTCTCAATTTAAATGATTTATGCATAAAATCTCACTTAGTAATTTAATTTCTAGCTGATGTTGTATCTGAGGAAGTCATTTTGAGATGGTACCGGGAAGCTCATTCTGTTAAAGGCAAAATGCACTTCCTGGAACAAATGAAAAAGTTTGTGGAGTGGTTACAAAATGCTGAAGAAGGTAATTGTTAATAATTTTAATTGAGTTACTTAAATTAATTTATAATAATTATTATAATTTATAATAATTAATTATTAATATTATTATAATTTATAATAATTAATTTATAATATAAATTAATTTTTAGAATCTGAATCTGAAGAAGAGGAGGATTGAATGCAACAATTTCTAATGTTGCCTGCTGGAATACATGTAATATGATAAAATAACTAACGGTGGTTTGTATAAAGGAACTTTTAAGCACACACAACTTGTCCATAATTATTTAAAAACCGAAAATTAATCCATGTGTAAATCATTCATTTTTACAGTATATATTCATGTATTTATAAATGCTATATTATTTTACAATAAATATTGAAACTGTTAATTATTTGTTCTCATTCTAATAAATCATTTTTAATTCATGCGATATGCATTATTACTTAATTGGTAATAAGTTCTATTTACTGTTGTTCGTAATATTAGTAGACTTTACTTACAGCAAATGAAAACCTTACAGAAAAACATTTTGTTATTTGTGGAAAAGTGATTAGATATCTGCTTGGATCAGAAGCAGATATTTGACACTTTCTTTACAATGTTAAAATATGTATATATTTTAAACTATAAATAATTCTAACTAATTTATCAAATACAATATATTTGAATACACATTTTATTGGGCATGCTTTCAACCAACGACAAACATTGCACTCATATTTATACATAACATGTTATAAAATGTGACTATTTTATAAACTAAACTAGACTAGTTTATATATAATATATACTATAAACTAATATAATATAATGACTTGTTTATTTACATACACACACTCACACTTTTTTGTTACCAATTCATGCTTGCATGAAGAATATCTCTGAACTACTTCAAATTTTTTTTTAAATAATTGTTAGTGCTCTTTTACTGTAAAATAATTTTAGCTGAAGGATGAGGCCACCACCATTTGAAATGTTTTATTTCGATTACTTGGCGAAAATTAATCGAATTTATTTCGAAGTTGAACAAAAAGCCTCAAAATATATTCATTGATTGATCACACGAGGCTTTTCCACCAGGAGAGAAGCCTGGTGTGTTTGGCATGTATTACTGCTGGACATTGATTTTGAAGATAGTTTGTGTATGAAATATTTTTTTCAGATGATGAAAGGTATGTAGATAGAAACAAAAAAACTTTTTGATCAAGCATCCTTTCATAAGATGTTACTAAAATATTAAAAAAATTTAATAGACTTCCATACGTATGTTGACTTCCAGTATAAAACTACAAAAAAATTAGTTTGCAATGCAAGTAATAGTAGTAGTAACAAACTTTGCATGGTATGATCACAAAATTAGTACAGAAGACGGACTGATTTTTGTTTTGCTCATTTATAAATTAAAGAAACAAAATTATGAAAATACTTTAAATTTCAGCTTGATAAAATGCCATTTATTTACGTTCATACGTTTAGTTGCTTACCATTGAGGCGCCTGAAGACTTTAAATTTGTATTATGTATTTATACGGTATTATATACATTTATAAACTTCATACTTTTTTATTCGACGTTGCAATAAACTCTTAAAATATTCGAAATAAAAAACTAATAATAATTAAGAATTTATTATGTAGGTTTAGACATTGTATGTGGCATCATTCAGCAAGTTAACAAATCCAATACAGGAAAATTTCAAATATAATAAACTGTGACGCGGCGCTTAGGTGCTTCGATATTTCGTCTCTAAAACTTGTAAAAAAGAAGATCCAGATTTACAAAAAAATACAAAATATAACTAGATGATATTGGTATTTTGCCTTGAGGCAAGTTACACGAACTTCCCGATATGTGTAAATAATCTACCTAATCAATAAAAAATAAATTAATTTATGAGTGATTGAAAGTATTCCGGGTGGATTTATCACTCATAATGGAAAACGAACGAACACGTTAACTCGAAGTATTTTCTAAAAGCAAATTTTCAAAAATCAATAACTTTTATAATTGAACCAGTTTCTGTAGGACTTTAACGGTTTAGTATGATCATTAAGACCAAGTACTCAATCCTTATACCCAGTGGCCAGTAAATGGTCTAATTTTAATTTTAACAAACGTCAAAAAAACTACTCATTTTCTCAAACTTTGATGAATTTTTAAAATTAAACTACGGCTTACATTTTTTTCAACAGTTAATTACAAGAAAACGGTTCGGTAGATTTTCACCTAAAACTATATCAGTATCATTCTCAACTAATATCTTTCGAAGATTTTTGATTTTTTAAAATCGATTCAGTAGTATGAACTTAAATGTGAACGAAAACTTTAACACTTTTCCAAATTACAATGAAACGGCTCGGCCGATCGTCGCACATAACTTAGAAACAATAGTCCTTGTCGAATGGCTTTTAAATGTTTGAAATTGTTGTTTTTGAGAGCATGAGGCATGATGCCATGCAACACTAGTTGTTTGATTAATTGTGATTAATTTTGTTTTTAAGTGAATATTCGTATAAATCGTTAAAGAATGAAACGTGCAACAGTACCTTTGATACTTGCATAGTTACAATTATTATTAAACATTAATCAAATATGATTCACGAAATTGAATCACGAAAACTAAGATATTTTATCTCTTTTTATATTAGACTCAGACTCCATTGAAAAGGCCACCGTGTTGCTTATAAGATTAGAATCCTTATGATGTTATTCATTGCGAATATCATATTTAAAAGGCGCTGCTGGAATTGTTTATGAAGCCATTTGGACGAGTTGAATGGGATATCTTGTTACAATCTAATCTATTTGTGATGTCGGCAAATTGTTGATAACGACTTAGGACTTTATTCTTCTGTAGACGGAGACCTCCCTGGTTAAAAATATGTAGAATCCAAGTAAGACTGTCATGCTTTAACATGATTTCCCGTGGATTTATACTTGTTTATCTATGCCGTGGACCCTTCACGGAAGGATTTTCTATAAATTTACAACTCAGTATTTATTTTGATTACAACTGGTTTAGCTTTGTTGATTGGATTTTAAAGATTTGCATTAAACCATCTCTACATTAATTAACTTCCCTTAGGTAAGTTATAGTTATCGCAAAAAATCGAAAATGCACATTTTTATATATCTTACGTTTCAAAACCTTCTGAACATTTTGGCATACTTAAAAAAAATGAATGTATGTGTGTGTGTGTGTGTGTGCGGATACAAATTTTTGTCGACGATTTCGGGAACACGGATCAACCGATTTGATTAGTTTAAAAAATATTCGATTCGTATTGATAAGGAGACGTGCTGATTAGTTTTTGGCAAAGGCAGGTTCAGTCTGTTCCAAAGATACGGGACAAAAAGTGTAACGGCAACCCAGTTTTTAGGAGAACGGAGCGTCCGATTTTAATAATTCAAAAAATATTTTACTTGTATTGACAAGGTGATAAACTGATAAAATTTTTGAGAAGACAGGTCTAGCGGTTTCGGATATCCAGTGAAAAAAATTAAAAAAAATGCCATTTGGCGGTCAAAAATGTCATTAGATATATGCACTTCAAATTATCAGATATTTTATAGAGATTTTTAATAATGTTTATCATTTTCATTTACATTTCTATGGGTACCGTAACATGGTTTGTTCGTTAAACAGCGACGCGGCGCTTACGCGCTTCGATAATTCGTCCCTACGCAGCTAAAGCAGTGCGATTGCATTGGTAAAAAGTTCAAAATTTCTAAAATAATTCAAAATAAAAAAACCTTTTTTTTCCAAATGTTTTTTTTTTCAAAAAAGTCAATTTTTTTAAAAAATTTGAAATTTCTCAAAAATCTATTTTATTTTATAAAAAAAATAGCTCTTTTAAAAAAAAAAACTTTTAGCACGGAAAGTTCCAGCAATTTGCCTTAAAGCACAATGCCATACACCATTAGTTTATATAAGATTTTAACCAGAAATGTGATTTGCTGATTTTATCTTTTCTTAACGTTTCAAGTCATTATGATTTTTTTCGCACCAAAATTGAAACCAGTGTTAACGAAATTTCACCCGTTTCAAAAATTTTAAGGCCATGTAACATTTTAAGGACTCGCGTTGATTAATTTGTGTGACGATCGACGATGATTTTTTTAGAATTAGCAGGAAAGAGCTAAATTTTTTGTCGACGTTTTTGCCTAAAATCTTCATTCGATTTTGGAAACGTTAAAACCGTTTGTCGTCCGAAAAAAAATCAGTTGGAAATTGCTGATTTGTTTTAGGCAAATATGGGCCAGACCGCTTCTTCGTTTTTTTTTGCATTTTTAATAATACTTAAACCAAAAACCTAAAATATTTCATCACAGAGGAGTAGTTTCATTATAAAAATTCATAAAACTTACAATAATGGGTGTCTCTTCAAACATAAGCTGTGTACTTATGTCTTATGTGCGTCTATGTCCTTACTAAAGCGCACCTAAATTGAATTGAGCATCAAAACTTTATTTTCATTTATTTATTATCAAAACTAATAGGTGATGATTTTATCATCACAGTTTTATTGGTTGCTAAATCTGTGTTTCTATTGATTATGCCATTTTTTGCTACACATTAAATAATAATTAATTATTAACTGCTCGAAGGAGAAGTTTGTTTTCATCAAATCGCTAATTTTATGTTTTCTCGACGTTTCAAGCCATTCTGAATCGAATGAGACCAAATTTGGAAAATGTATGTGTGTGTGTGTGTATGTTGTGTGTGTGTGTCTGTGTGAACAGATTTTTTGCCTTAAATCGACGTTTTCTTTAAAACGGATGAGCCGATTTCATAAATTTAAAAGCCGATCGATGTATCTCGATGAGGACTAGCGTTTCTCAGTTTTGTACAACGATTGGCCAGACCGTTTCTTTGTAAACTGCTGAAAAGTGAAAAAATTTCGTCCACGTTTTAGCCCGCAATTCTGAATCGATTTTGAAAATTCTGTATTGGTTGTAAATCGTGCTGATTAGTTTTTGGTAAAAATCGGCCGGGCCGTTTCCTTGTAATAAAGTTTTTTTTTAAAAAAAAATCTACGATTCTTATGATTTTTTTGAGACGGTAAATACCATAGTCTTGTAGATCATACTAAAACATTGCGGCCCTACGAAAAGCCGTTTAATTTTGAAAATTGTTCAAAGTTTGCAAAAATTAGTATCGTTTTTTGGCATTTGTCAAAATTAGACTTTTGATCGACGTTTTCTCAAAAACATCTGAACCAATTTCAGAAATTTAAAAGCCATTTGATGTATCTCAATGAGGACTATCGTTTGGGACGATCTGCCGAGCCGTTTCTTTGTA